ATTATAAGTCTCGCTGATAAATCTATAAGACTAACAGATCCAGAATACAGACCAACTGCAATAAAAAAAGCAAAAAATGCCCTTCTAAAAAATGCATATCCCGAACATCTAATCGAAACTATTTTCAAATCAAGACTCAATAAATTTTATAACAATGCAACTAACAACAAACCTAACAGTATCAAAACCACTTATACAACTCTTCCATATATAAAAGGTTTATCCGAACAACTAACAAATCTTTTAGCCAAACATAATATAACAGTGGCCTACAAAGGCAACAACCTCTTAAATAAATACTTCACAAAACTAAAAACACAAACTCCAAAACTTAAAAAATCACATGTTGCTTACGAGATACCATGTACAAACTGTGAAGGTGTCTATATCGGTCAAACCAGTCAACTGCTTCAATCCAGAATTCGTTCTCACAAATACGACAAGAACAACGTCACTGCGCTCACAAAACATGAAAGGGGGAAGAAGCATAAATTTGACTTTGAAAACATCAAAATTTTAAAAACAGAAAAAAACAAAAAGAAGAGGGAGATATACGAATCAATAGAAATAAAAAGAAACACCAACGCAATAAATGACAAAAAAGATACACAAAACTAAATAAAATATATTTCAATCTGATTTAAACAATAATAATAAAACATCATAAAAAGCTCTTAAAGTCATAACATATCTCCACCTTACCTTTTTCAAAAACATCAACGATACGCCCATATAAAAATAATTATATACTAATGACAGTAAACAATGAGATATCAGATATCAACTTTTATATGTCAGTTCGTTAATGTCTGTGTCACGTTTTACGTTTTGGTAAGTCATATATTATAATATATATATATATATATATATATATATATATATATATATATTATATATATATATATATATATATATATATATATGTGTATGTATATATATATATATTACATATTTTACAATATCTGTTTGTCCTTATATATACACATTTTAGAATCTTGACAAAGGCAAGGGTTTCCTGCCGAAACGTTGATTGATTGCAATGGAAAATAAAATCTAGTTCCACATGTAATATCTTTATTGAACCTAAACCCAAGAAACATTAATTTTATATTAAATATAATACGGTTCAAGAAACTCAAAACTACTATATATATATATATATATATATATATATATATATATTTATATATATATATATATATATATATATATATATATATATATATTGTTATGGTTTTAAAACGTTTTTAAAAATTAAAATTGTTTGCTCACAATTTGGGACTGCCTGTATTGGTTGTGAAGTGAACTAGGTAGGTATACACTGGATTCAGCTGATACCAAGGCCGGATAAAAAAGGAATAATACAGAAGTAACTCATCCATAAAACCCAAGATTCTACTGACTCGGCTGATGGTACGTTGAAAGCGCCTTTTGTGCAAGGATAGAAATAAAGATCATAACGGCGATAAATACAGAGAAAAAAATTATTCGGAACAGCAAATTCGTCGGAGGTGGTACTCTGTCAATAAATGAGCCAAGTATTGTATTTTCCATTCTTTGCTTAGTATTCTTTTTGTTTTCTCATGCGCTGAAGTACCTCATCGTTGGTAACTTTTTGTACCCATGGAATACTCAGCATCCGTCTGTTTATATACATCTCAAAGGCATCTCTTCTTTTTTTATTTCAGAGTACATTGTCCAACTTTCACAGTTATATAGCAAGAAATAGGTAACATAACATCTGATCATTTGGATTCTGAGCTCTAGATTAAGGTCTGATCTTGTAAAAAATGATCATATGCCACGTGTTTGTCTCGCTTGGTCGATTATTGATAAGATTTCTTTTTTTTTGCAGACGTAACCCTGTCACACTTCTTGTCGGCTTCGTATATTTTCGGGTGTTGTGTTTTCTACTTTAATTGTTGCCGTTGGGTGCCAATATTGTTCTGAGATAATTCCCAAGTCTTGTTCAACAATTCCAATTGTTTTCAGAATGTTGATTATCTTTTGATTGTTTAATAAAACATTTATATACATCTACAGTCAGATCACATCTTAACACATTTAAGAGAAAAAAAGCTTCTTGTGTTCGAGAAATTTAAGTAGTTTGGCATTAAGATTGTCTGAACCAGTAGCTTTTTCGCTTTTTTGAGCTTTTACTGCATTAGTAACTTCTTCTTTGGCTATTTCTTGACCTTTTGCATTCATTGGATAATTTGCGGATGGTGGAAAATAAGGTATATCGTCGTCAAAAAGTGTCTTAATGCATTCTTTCTATCTTTCTACAGTTTGCCTTATGTACCTATAATTCTTTCGGGATTACTATTTTTTATTATTGTTTCTTTTCTCTTTATGTTTCTTACTGTCATTTCTTTCACTTTTTATGGACATTAAAAGGTATCTCATTTTGTTTGTAGCTATTCAATTTCTAGGTATTTTGTTGACATCCAGTTTTTTAGCTTCTTTGAACTTTTTTTAATTATTCCACAAGCACATTCCATAAAAATATTTAACATTATCGAGAAGAATCAAATCATGGCCTCCAGTCCGCGGCAGCCTTTTCGTGGTTAGAGAATGCTAATGATCCCAGTTCTATTGATGAGAAGGATAATAACTTGGAAGGTTCACAACTTATTTGAAAGTATAAAAATGCAAAATACAAACTTATTTGTGTGCCATGCCCGTTTTCAAGTGTTGACGATCATCATGTTAACAAGCTTCTGAAATTCTTCTCGGTCGGTAGCTACATAAAACAATTACTTAACCGTCTATATTCGAATATTATGCAGCTAGGAGACTTGTTTTCTTCCGACCCAGTGATTTCCTTCTATTTTGTCCTGAAGGATCTAACGAAGTAAGTGATATTTAAGTCCCCTCAATTTCTTACTTCTACTTATTTTGTTGGTGTTGATCAATTCTCGAACACTGGAATACTCAAACTCTAGATATTTTGAACTAAAACTTTTAAAAAAATTCTTCAAGTCGCCAAAATGTTAATGTCTATAGAAAATGTCACACTGAGAATGCAGTATGGGTAAGATACGGCAATGCTTTTCTTATGGAGAATAAACGCGCAGGGTTGTCGGTTTTTTCCAGCTGTTGATTGCTCATTGTCCCACAGGACCGGCTTGGATAAACTGCATCTGCAGGCAGTACGAGTAAAATATTTTATATCATGTATACGTATACAGGAGAATAAAAAGGCATTGATGAGGTATTGACAACGAAAACTATAAATTTTGCATATAAAACGTCAACATGAGATATACAATTGAATCATATTCATAAGAGTAACATTTGAACACCTCTTTACAAGAACAACATACCATAACTGTAGTTTTAATATTTTACATAAAATAGAAAAAGCCTACATAATTTCTAGGAAAGAATTTGGAAACTTGGAAATGATATTATTTATAGATATTATATATAATATTCAAATTTCCAATTCTTTCATAGAAATTAGATTTTTTCTATTGTATGTAAAATATTAAAAAATACAGTTTCTGCTACAAATTACACTCATTAACATAATCACCTAAATATGGCCATAAACTTGTTTGTCATAATTAGTATTTGATAAACTCCAAGCTTTTCCTATTTCACCCCCTACCCATCCTTAGGTAAAAGTGCTTTTGGAAAACAAAACTACACTTCAAAATTTAGTCCGAGTTTCAACAGAGAGCATGGAGTCCCATAAGTTTAAATCCGGTGAAATATTTAACGGTTGCGCTAAACTCGTAGTGTTAAATGTGTTGTGTTTTTTACAAAATACTGAACAACTTAATGTAAGCGCTGCTGTAAGACGTATTTCGCTAATGACTGGTGTTAGCGAAAAAGCATTTACAATTTCAAAAAAGAAAAAGAACAGAGTGGAACGTTGAAATCGCCAAAAAAAACGTAAAAAAACGAGTGTGTCAATCAAATTCTAGAATATTGCCGCCATTCTTAAAGCATATACATAACTTCATACAAGATAATGAGAATATACAGCCGTTGTCTCTTTCTACTCTATACAGACTTCTGAAAGATATTGGATTTGTTTATAAGAAACGTGGCTGAAATATCTGTCGGATATTGGGCTAGGTGCACGGAAATCGAGTTCCCGGAGGTTTCACCCTGTATATTTATAGTTATCAAGAAATGTAATTTAAAATATATTTGTTAGTTTAATAAAGTATAAATATAATAATATAATGTTAAATAACTTACACTATAAATCTTATACCTGCTTATCTGGTCAAGTGTGGGCAAGGAAAACCATTATCCCATATGGAATAACACAAGGTTTCGCTGACAACTACCAGGTTGGTATGCCAAGGAACTAGGTAAACTTATGTTGTGTGTAAAAAATTGCGAGACTGCATTATGTTTTAACAAAGACAAAAACTGCACTTCAGATTTCCACAAAAAAAAAATTTCATAGTAGGTGTTAAAATTTCGCAGTGATTCAAGTGCGCAACTTATTTTTTTAATACCATCGCCGGGATTAAAAAATGTGCAAAGCTTTTTCGATATTCCCGTTTCTGATAATGTTCCACATATTTACAAAAGAAAAAATTTTTCTTGGATATTGGGCTGAGTGCACGGAAATCGAGTTACCGGAGGTTCCACCCGGTATATTTATAGCTATCAAGAAATGTAATTTAAAATACATTTGTTAGTTTAATAAAGTATACAGTTTTATAATAAAATTCTTGCTAAAAACTTAAAGTCTTTTTATTCAAATTCATGCCTCTTATTTGGCTACTTGAAGGCAATTATTTTATCAATACATTATTTTATAATAAATAACAGAGCCCGGCGTAGAGATCTGGGTACGGTTCTGTGACTACCACTTGGACCTGTTTGTATCGCCAAGCACAAGGCGTGAAATCCGGCAATTGCGCATTCCTATATTAGCCGTACTGCACTCTCGGTCTGACATTTTCTATAGGAGGTTCAAACGACACGTTTAAAATCTAAAATCATTTTATGTTTGTTAACAGAGGAAAAGTTAATTTTCAAGTTTATATTCTTAACTTTAATCTTAATAATTATTCTCCACAATTTAAATTATATTGAAATGTTCATAAAATTACTAATATTTGTTTACAAAGTATCATCTTTAAGAATAGCGTCAAGATAGGTTTTATATCTCTTCTGGTATTCCTCGTCGTTAATCAATGTTGTCTCCAACTCGTCGTACCAATTGCGGTGGTTTACATAGAGATGCTTTATGCATTTTTGTACTTTTCGTTTATCTTCTTGGGAACACGTTTCTTTACAGGGATCATCAAGAATTTTTCTCCAGATTGCTGTAAAAGAAATATGAAAAAAAATAATACAATTATGTAAACCATCATCATCAATGATGCTACTTATGTAAACAATAGTTTTAATTATAAAGGTTTTAAAAATGTTTTCTTTTTAAATAATCTTTGAAAACGATTTCTTGATTGGAAGTAGAAACAACAAATACTTAAAAAATATAAAATGTTATTGTCATTACAATCAATTGTGGATTATTCTATTTTGCACAGGACTAGAAAAAAAATGTATTCAACGTATACCTATAGAGTCGTTATTCAGTCACGCCCCACTCCACTCTCCTAACAACACTCGTCTGACGGCTATAGTGCTGTCAAGTTTTATATCATGTAAAAGGAAAAACGGAAGCATTTGTTGCAGCAATTGCATTCAAACAAATTTATTTCATTACCTTTCAAAGCAGCTCCTTCGGCGGTGCAACTTTTTGAACCAATCATGCAGTCAACATAATTTTTGACAAGGCGATCGCTCTTGAGCACATCATCCACATTAACTTTCCTGAAAATTGTCAAGTTTTCCTCAAACGACTTCTCTGGGGCGCTTAGTACTACACCTACTACTGCAAGCGCAACTAAGAACACAGATAAACAGTAATGATTCATTCTAGAGTTAGAACCGTATTATGTTTGATTAATGTTTTGTTTCAATATTTATAGTCCCAAAACGTTTTTCTTATTTTATAAATGAATACTTTTTATCACAGTTTTTATGTTTTCATATAAATGAATTAAAATGATTTTTTTATTCCTAATTAAAATATAATATTAATAAGTTCAAGAGCATTTAGAAAACGTTTATAAATTTTAAACGAAAAGAAACATAATTATCCAAAAAAAACAGGGATATTTACATATTTAACTGCATATATTCAAACTTAATTGCAAATTTTAATAATTTCTTTTGTTTTAGTAATTTTTTTGTTTAGTATCGGATTGTTGCGTCTATGAAAGATCGTCTCTCTAGTTCTTTCGCAGTCAGCCGATACTTCTAACAGGTGGTGATTTGTCCCTTGCTATTTTGATATATCTATAGACTCTGTATCCGCCTTCTGCTAATGTGATTGTTTCATCCTTTTCTAGGCAGTGCCCACTCGTTTGTACCATGTACATTATATTTTGTTCTGATCTTCTCACCCCTTATTCGGTTTCGCAGCGTGTTTTTTGTAATTCCTATTGAGTATTTCTGGTATTTCCAGCCTTATCTATATCTTGGCTGTGTCAAGTCTTGATTTCATTTTTCATAGTTAAACTGTCAGTTACGCCATATAGTGTTACTAAGGCATTTTACTAATCTATTTGCTCTTTGTACATGATGTCTTACTTGCTTTTTAACGTCTCCATAGCTGGATAGTGTAATCACTAGGAACTTTATTTCCAAAACTTGTTCAATGCTAACTCCATCTACTTCCAGTATACATCTCATTGTTTCTTTACTGATTACTGTGTTGAAATTATTATGTAAAATTATTTTTATCTTTTAATAAATCTGTAAACTACTCTTTAAAGGACATCTTCATTTTGTAATACCCAAATTCCATGGTCTAAGTAACAGACAATTTTAATAACATATTTACAAATTTTTTGAAAATTTCTAGTAAATTTCCAGTTACCAGTATCGTTTGCTGAATATCAAAAATCAAGAAACAAAATGTTGACTTTGTTAATATAAGCACAAAACCAATACTGGGAAACTTTTCAAAATGATGAAAAACAATTTCTATGGTCTACAGAAAGAGACATGGAGGTAGATCAGATCACAAAGAAAAGAAGTTAATGAACTAGTTGAGACGAATCTAGTTGAGACGAGCCTAATAAAGAATGGATTGATAGATAGAAAGAAATGGAATGTGCAAAAGATACGAGATACAACAACTGCTGAAGATTACTCAAAAAACATTACTAACAGGCTAAGCAATCAAATTCTAAATGAAGGAGATCAGAAAATATAGGCTGCTACTGGACCAGAATAATGAAAGACATTGAAACTGCAGAAAAAGATTAAATAGGAACAGAAACTTGTGTACTTATGTAAAAAACATTGGTTTGACAATAATGCAAGAATGCAACAACAGAAAATATAAAGTCTACAGAAAAATGCTTACCGACGAGAGGAAAGAGGAATCAACGATTTTTGAAGTTTTAGACGCATTTAAAAAAATTAGGCAGAAACAGATTATGATTATATCTCAACATAAAATGGATGCTTTCAATAGGTTATTCATAGGTTACTTATGTCAATATTCATAGGTTACTTAAATTTCCACTTTATAATGATAACTTTGATTTAGAACTTAATACTCTCAAGCAAATTGCTTTCAATAATGGTTATGATCCCAACATTATCCAGAAGCTTCTAAATAGAACTAAACTCAAAATTGCAGTAAAGCTTGCATATTTATCACAATGTTTTCTTTAACCTAATGTTTCAAACAACATCAGATATTTCTTCTTTACTTATATTTTACTCATTTTTAAAAATGCCGTGCGGGCTATCTCGATTCTACATTTTATCTCTTGATCTGGATCTAGTTGTTCAGTAATATAAAAAAATCCACAAGGAAAAATTCCTGTAGCTGGCTGTATACCAGGTATAACAAAAAGAGGTTAATCTTTGTAAATGGGTATATTTATTTAAAAAACCCTTAAAAGGGCCACATCAATAAAACAAACGTTTTCGGACCACACAGTCCATCATCAGGTTTTTAAAATCGAAAAATGCTAGGTCACAATGCCTGAGCCACCAAAATACTAGGGTAAAAACCCTTTAAATTACATTTAGTTATGAAAGATTGTACATTGTGTTGTAAAATAACTGTGATGTTCAGTATTAAATTAAATTTGACTAGAGGTAACACATGGCTCAATCGGGTTCCAGAGCCGGTGAGAGAGAACCTCTACACTCGGAGAACAGCTGGGAACTCAGTTGGGAACTCAGTTGGGAACAGCTTTTCATTGTGTCCAGCCCATATCCATTTCAGTGTTACTGCTTGTTCTATCGCGTCTACTGTCTTTGTTCTGGTTCTGATCCACTGGTTACGTTTTTTATCTTAAAGTGATATACCCAACATTTGTTTCTCCATCGCTCTTTGTGCCTTCCTTATCCTATCCAAATTGGCCTGTGTAAATGTCTATGTCTGTGCTCCGTAGGTGAGCACCGGTATTATACAGGAGTTATATACCTTGCTTCGTAACTATAGAGGGATTGTTTGATTTTTTAGAGCGTAAGAAAGTTTGCCGAACGCTGCCCATCCCATTCTTACTCGTCTTGATATTTCGGTTTGATTTTCTCTGTTAGCTCTGATTGCTTGTCCTAGATAGATATACTCATTTACCTGTTCTATTTTTTCTGTTTGTATTTTTATTGCCTCTTGGTCTTCCGTGTTTGTCATTACTTTTGTTTTGTTGAAGTTAATTTTTAGGCCTTTTTGTAGTGATTTTTCATGAAAACAAACAAGATTAATGGTCTTTTATCCCTAGAAAATAAACAACCAGGGTTACTAACAGGCAGATCTTGCATAAGTGTAGTCCTTGTCCTAAGACAAACAACAGAAAAATCGATAGAATACAACGAACCTACTTTTATTCGTTTTATTAATCTAGTGAAGGCATTTAGTCGTGTCTAACTAAAATACATAATACATTTCACCTAGATGATAGATAAATTCTACATAATCAAATCGAAACTGTGGAAAACATATATAAAGAAAATCAAAATCAAGCTAAACTAAAGGAAGACATTAGTTAGGGTGACTTACTAAGCTCATTTGTCTTTAACATTTTTAAGGATAAGATAATACACTACGCAAAATGAGAGGTTATATGATAAGAGATAGGGAGATTAAAGTCATGTGTTTTTCAGATGACACAGCGATGGGTTCGTTACACCAATATCGTTTAACATTGTGATATCAGCTGAAAAGAGATACCTGTAAAATGTAAACATAAGAGTGGATCGATTATTTAGCAAGAGAGCATAGAATTATTAGAATAGGGCGACGTTAAAACAGAACTAAACAACAAAAGTAGCTGGATGTCTAATCAGTACAATATGGCGTAATAAAAACATTGGTATTGAGGCTAAATCAATTATATATAAAGCTGATAGAAGGCCTATAATTACATATTTCACAGAAGCTAGACCACAAACAACAAAAACCAAGAAGTTGCTTGAAAAAGCAGAAAAAAAGGTACTTTGCGACATAACTGGAAAGACTCTTCTAGACAGCGAAAGAAGTAAAAACATAAGGACTTCATATGGGGTAGACGATATTAACGGTTGAATTCTAAGTAGGACAAAAAAGTGGAATGAACATATTAGCAAAATGGAAAAAAGAAAAATAGTGAGGATCGCTCGAGATTAATCGTCAACGGGACGGAAAGTATAGTCCGAAACCGAAAAAGCTGGAGTGACAATCTGAACATTGTCCACCTGAATATTAATGCAGGTAGATGAAGGTTGTTGGAAAAAATAAATTTAAATAATTATCGTTGTTTTATTTTTCATTTCATTTTATATATCTTTAAACAATACCCTATTTTAACAAATTTTAAAATGGTTTATTTACAGTTTAACTCTGCTTGCATTGATTGTGAGGTAAACTGAGTTCTACACCTGATGCAGTAAATCCCGACTCTGAATAAAAAGGAAATGTAGAAGAGTTTCACCTTTATCAAAATCAAGATTACTTAAAACCCAGACTATTTTTTAGGAGCCGCTTGTGCAATATTGCGAACAAAAATTATAATGGCGTGGAAAAACGGGGCAAAAAAGATAAAAACAGAGGTGGCAAATTTGACAGCCTGTGTTTTCCTCCCTCCTCAGTCCTAATCCCTTTTGGGATGTGGTGACGCCATCAGGCCTTTACAGGTTTTTCCCGATTTACTACCATTCTTCTCTGTCCTGGGCTAGTTCGGCTTCATGTAACCCTTGGTTATTCAATATTTTTGTGTTGATCTACCCAACGGCTTGGAGATCTTCCCCTAGGTCTCTTTCCTTCATGTCTACCATCGAGCAAAAAGATAAAAGAGGGAATGTAAAGGTAGTGGGGACAAAAATATTGTTAGACAGGAAGTGCTATCTTGAGAGGCCACTTTAAACAAGGAAAGACAGTCTCTTTCCTTGTTTGAGAAGTCAAATTTAGTTTGGTTATGTTATTGTTGTTTGTCGTTTGTCCCAACTGTCACATGAAATTTTATTTATATTAAAGTTTTTTACCAATTGTGTCACTTTTTAGACTATTATAGTTAATATTTAATTAAAACTTTCTCGTCTGAAAAATATTTTGTAGCTATTGTTAATAAGTGTTGGAAAATTTAAATTTAGCGCCTTTGCATTTCCGGATATGTCCGCCATCAAAGGCCACTTTTTTGGTCTCCCTTTCATAACGATTAGATTCCCTCTTTTATCTTTTTGCTCGATGATGTCTACCCTCGACTATCAGTTTTACTGCGAATGTAGTCATTGCAAAATACTGCAAGAATCTCTGTTATATCTGTTATATCCTTTACTTTTAAGTTGTTCTAATATCGATACGTTAGTGCGATGATCAATTCAGGATATTCTCAACATGCGGCGGTATACCCACATTTCAAAAGGGTCCATTTTATTTTTATCCGCTTTCTTTAAGGTCCACGTTTCAGATGCAGATGTGTCT